ACCGCACCGTGACGTCACTGCAGGAAGATGGCAGGAGGGAGGGGTTACTATATTTGGGCAAAAATGGCCGCTTCCAGACTCAGTGATCGCAACAAAAATTTATTATTTCACTGATTAACTCTAAATTCATTAAATCACCGCAAACGTATTAGTTTTAAGTATAAATAATGATCCATTGATTATTCCTTGCTGAGGACTTTTCCTTTAAGATGTTAGTTGTATGAATATTTAAAAGCCCTGCATTGTTTTCTTTCCAAACTTTTGCAGCACTTTGTGTTAAAAATTCATATAAAGTCTGAATAAAACCCAATGACATATAAAGTTGTTTGATGACTGAGTCTGTGATCTATCAAACAGCTCCTGTGTCACTGAACTCTCAAAAGTTCAAACAATGCAGTGGGCAGAGAGAAGAAAGAGAAGGGAAATTGCTCCATTGTGACACATTTTACTGAAAGTCAAATTAGTCAATCAGAAGATAAAATACCCGAAAACACTCCACAGATGATTAAACCCTCCACATCAGAATAAAGATAGTTGAATAAAGAAAAAGGTGCATTAATGCGCTCTTATTCTTAGAGTTCATGCTGAGGGGTTACCTATGTCCTTCACAGAAAAGATGAAGGGGTCTGAGCGAGATGCTCCAAAGTGGTTGTAAGCAGTGGCGGTCAGCGTGTATTCAGTGTTTTCATCCATGATTGATCGTGGTATGCTGATTTCCTCACCATTCTGGGTTACATTGAAAATTGTTTCATTCTCTCTAAAGACAGAAAAAGAAAATGGAAAATGTGGTCATTAGCAAAAATGCTGACTTAGAAATCAACAAAACCCAGAGCTACGACTCGATACCTGTGGACTGAAATGTTGAATAGAGTACGGAGGTATGTGTCTCGTCCTCTCCTCAGTGAGCAGTTAATGGAGTCCCAGCTCTTTGTCGTTTCACAGCTAATATCTGTAGGCTTATCAGGAGGAACTGTAAGGATAATAAGGAGCATTTTGAATCATTTGGAAACAAGGACAAATAATCAGTTTCTTATTTTGCAGGATTAAAATCATTTCAAATATAAGCTCTACATAAAGAGACCAATGGAAAATACTCATAATTTCCCACCGTTTCATCTCTTCCTCTATTTTTACTCCTTTTATTCTATTTATTGCACAGCATCCCTTGCTTAGATAGACTCACACCTGCAATTTAGAGTGTTGAGGTTTTCCTTATGGACACCCGTTTTGCCTGAACAGGAGTGAGATTCCCTCAGGTTGAAGCCTATTCAGCAGCTATCAGCTCCCAGCTCTTTGCATGAATTTAAAGTGGAGAATGAAAACCCTGTCCGGGCAGAACAGGGGGGAACAATGAGCTGAGATGGCTGATATTCTATTCTTTCACACCTTTGCAAAGATCAATAAAGTGCTAATTGGGGGATTTCTAGTGTTGCACTGCAGCCATTTTTTGGTGTGTGTATAAAAACGAAGAACTGCATACTACTTGGATGTAAAATAATTGCCATCATGGCTTTATCAAGCTGCTGCCTACCTTTGAAGCAGGAAAAAGACTAATACAAAGTGAATCCAGTAGAACTTTTTATTGCCTACCCACCCTAATGGGTGGCAATAGTTGAATAAACTTTTGGCTCTCAAAAAGGTATCCGATACCATCATTCTAGTGCAGATACTGGACCGAAATCAGTAACTGGGCCCTGCCCGATACTTATATCGGTCCAACACTAGTGATTAACAACAAAAATCCAATGATGCAGTAATTGATGTAAAAAAAATCAAACAAAATGTAGCCCTTTAGTTCAGTTTATACAGCATCAACAGGCAGCAAGTGTCATCTGAAGACATTCTACACAACAGACATGTTGTGTAGAACCCACATACAGCTGTAACCCACATACAGCGTTTAATCAGAGTCAGTAACAAGCCAACCATATCCATTTTAATTGTAATGCAGCACAATCAAATGCAGCTGATCAGATAAGGCTAAATAGTTTGGGTTATGTAAGGGAAGCCCAGCTGTCTGCACTAAGTCATTGGTTTTCAGCAATCCCCCATTCTGACAAGGGGGAAGCGGAGAGGAACCGTTCCGTTGAATGGAAGAGAAACCTCCAGCAAAATGAGGCCATCGCCTCCAACCAACCTCAGCCTACATATAAAGGTTGTCTTATATGCCAGAACCGAAAGTTGTTGCGCATTCTAAGTGAGCCATCTTTTTTTTATAAGACTTTCATCAAGCAGGAACATACTGCAATATATACTGTAGATTTCTTCATCTGTACTTTGATAGGTTTTCTAAAAATAATTATGTCTTTGGCTTTTTGTTTGTTCAAAGTTATTTTCCCTTTTCTGTTTCTCTAATCCATGAAAAACTCCAAAATAAAGTGATTTCTCATTGCAGTACTACCTGAAGTCTTGGATAAAGAAAAAGATAAACATTACATCTGTTTTTTAAATTTATTTCTCAGATCTTAGATCCATCTTTTAGATGCTGCACATGTTCTGTTTTGAGTCACATCTATAATCCTGTGTCCTATTTGTTCCTGTAGACAAACACTGAATATCAATTAGGGATCATCCCTCATTTGGAAGACAAACTTGTTTAAAAACAGGGAAAAAAAGGATCTAAGTTTTTAGCAGTTGTAATCTAAGCTCTTGGTATTAATTTGAACTTTGAACTGAACTTCTCCTGAATGTAAATCATCAGGTATTGCAATGACTTAATAAATAGTTGGAAAATGCTATTTAACAGTTATTATTCCACTTTATATATATATATATGTATATATATATAGTCATATTCAATAAATTTGACTTGACACTAAAAGTACCTTTTGAAAATTTGCTTTTCATTAATCCCATAAAAAAATATATATTTTATTGCTCTGATGTAATTTTCTAATCTTGAAAATCATGTCAGCTGTAACAGGAACAGCATCATAATTACAGGTATTAGAAAAAAGTCTAAAAGCATAATTTTTTCGATAAATGTGTAGAGGTACGTACATCCAGCCTTTAAGTCCAGACCACTGACAACTTCCCGAACAGACTGCTTTTTGCAGTCCATGGTGCAGACCACCTTTGACCGCTGCGTCCACACCTCACGCAGATAGAATACTGTGGTGGTGCAGTTCATATTTCTGGACAGAGTTACTCCCCGATTGTTCAGCTCCAGGTACAGTGTGCATCTGAAAGATGAAATGTTTAAATCAACCTTCTCTTGTAAGAAAACCCAACTATGTATTTTTTTTTAACCAAACATGGATAATGGATGGATGATATGTCTTTATTCACAGGCCTTAAAGTTGTCAGGAAGCATCCAAATAGCACTTTAATAAAAAAAAAAAAGTGAGTTTGGGGATTTTAAATATTGACAGTACTATTGAAGTTAGTGTGGAAGTGAATAGAGTATCTAAAAATTATACACAAGTGAGAGTAGTACTACTTCATCATCATCATATTCTTATTTAAATAAAAGTAAAAAATTTACCTTTGAAGAAGTTACTCATGTAAGAATTAAAAGATATTTGGTAAAAAGGATGGAAGTAATTGATCTACTAACTAATTATGTTATAACAACTGTTTAAATACTTTACAAAATGATGTTACGTTTAAACAAAATTTAAAGTAATACAGAAATGCTGGTGTTTCAAAGAGTGAGATAAAAAAAAAATAAACATAGTAATTACACAATAACAAAGTTGGAATAAACGCTCTGCATAATAGTTTTTTGAGTTAAAAACTCACAAAATCAATACTTACAGTATGTTAGAATAGTTTAAATAGTACTACTCTTTACAGTATTTTCACTTGTACATTCAGTACAAAAAAAGAAAAAGTGTTTTTCCTTCATGGAAATTTGTTTAAAACAAGTTTTTTTTTTTATTTCATCAAATGAAGTAACCCTCATTAGGTAGAGTAGCCAGAAAAATCTATGCAAATAAAAGTGGTGATACTTTTTCCTTTTTTTATCTTTTCCCAAAAATTACTGAAGTAAATGTAACGAGTTTCTACCCACCTCTGAGTTAGTGTCCTATTAATGATTAAACTAATGACACTCAGGATGGTGATGGGTTTAGGTCCTGGCCTATGGAGGTAAAATAAGGTCTGATTTCTTTGCTTGACCAGTAACACTAGTTTAAGTCTTACAAGTAGTGTTGCGCCGATGCCATTTTTTGGCCCCGATACCGATACCCGATACCTGGCTGTGCAGTACCGGCCGATACCGATACCATAATAATGTAAAATAATTGCCATCATGGCTTTGTCGAGCTGCTGCCTACCTTTGTGAAGCAGGAAAAAATCTAATACAAAGTGAATCCAGTAGAACTTTTTATTGCCTATCTGGAATTGGTGACAATAGTTGAATAAACTTATGGCTCTCAGAATGGTATTGGTGCCCTATTTTTTGGTACTCGCAGATACCGGTACCACCATTTTAGGTCAGTATCTGTCCGATACTGGTATCGGTGCAACACTACTTACAAGTCATCATAAACCAAAAAGCGAGTTTATTCTTAGGAACTAATCTGACTACATGGAATTTTCTCTAGTTTAGTATTATAAATACCAAACTGAACAAGCCTAAACTTGATGGTTCATCACTGAATGGAGATTTTCAGTGATGATTTGAATTGATTTTGACATCAGGACTAGTTTTGATTAAGAGAATAATGAAAAGCTCAACCTTTCTAAAAATCATAATTTAATCTTTTTTCATAAGTCTTATGACAAAAGCTTTTTTCTGTGGTATACAGCAGTGATTCCCAGACATGGTCCTCAGGCTCCAACACTCCTAATTGAAGTGGTATTTTCTCAGCAGCCATCCAGTGTCACATCAGCCTGTCCTTTAGCAAAACTTTCAAGTTGGGTGTGTTGCAACTAAGATACACCTATAAGATGAACGACAGTGGGTCCTACGGTCTAGAACAGAGACCCTGTGTGACATTTCTGAAGAAGTGCTGTTTCTTATTATTTTCCATAGAGATTTTGAAGTCAAATGTCCTTACCTGGGTTCACATTTAAAGACGTGGCAGTAGACAGTCAGATTTGAACCCATGAGGAACAGCGTGCCTGGCTCCGCTGTCAGATAACCCAGAGGGATAATATCCATACAGTCGGCAGGGAGAAGAGGAAAGCCTGTGTAAGAGACACAGCAACCATTTCTCAAATCCAGAAACTTAACTGAGTTTGTTGTATGACTATAAAAGAAAAGAACACACAGACAGATATGTGAGAGGAGGACTCACCGCTGATGGAAAAACAGAGCAGCATGACAATGCATCTCCAACTGGATAACAAGAGATTCATCTCAGCTCATCTCTCTGAAACCAGAGGACCCATGCAGCAGCTGGGGGAAGGAAAATGCTGTTATCAAGATCACGGCTTAAGAACCCTGAAGGCTTCGGGGCATGAAGAAAATGATTGTACCTCATCCATCTGTGTCCAGATTTAAGGCAGCCAAATGAAGAGCAAGAACATTTTCTCACTGCACCTTTTCCTGTTGATAGCAATAGTGTCTATATCTCTTTAAAGGTCATTGTTAATAATTCGTCATTTTCAGCTGATTAGAATTTTTCCGTATCTTACTAAAGAGATGGAACAAGATAAACTTACCAGAATGACATTCTTATCAAGACACCATCCAAAGACAAAGTTTTTTAGCATCGTTTTCTTGCGCAACATTTCCTCACACCTGCTTAGCTCCACTTGCCTGCCTAAACTGATCTTTGTTGCAAGAGTGTCACATCTTAAAGAGGCCATTGACCTAGTTAGGTGGTATTCTGGCAGAGCAGAAACTTTGAACATTTGTCTCAGTACTTGTGCGCCCTACTTGAGTTGCTTGTTTTTCATCACCACAAAGGCTGAGTTGACGTAAAGCGCTCACTGCTCACATGAACATGCTGCTTTTAGCTGATTACTGAGCGTAAAATCTAGAGTATTGACTGGAGTTTTTTTTTTTTTTATGTTCAAATAACCTGCTGACCCATGCTTTACTGCTACCCAGCTTCTCTGGTATCTGTTAAGACTTACTGTTCTAATGCTTTTTTTTTTTCTACAGAAGATTCTAAACTTAAGCAGAAAAGTGGCTTATCAGCATGCACAAAGATCACTGTCATATTAAATGCATACACAAACAATCTGAATTAATTGGGCTTTAGGAAAGCATCCCCCCAAAAAAAAAAAAAAATCTAAATCACAAGTCGTACTTACATAGAAAGTCTTGTTGGCTTCACTTGAGATATCATAGTTCTTTTCCAGCCGAGCTCTTTGCTGATGTTGGTAGCTTGTCGTTTTGCCAGTCTGTCTACTGTTTAAGTGATAGTGAGTCTTTTTTTTTTTACTTACACTTGTTTTTGTGAATTTTACTATTTTTTTCCACCTCTAACCTCAAGTGCACTGCAGGGAAAACCCAAAATATGAGCAGAACGTCTGCACATAAAGATAAAACGGACCTCAAAGTTGTGGGCTGTAATTTATCCCTGTTAAAAATGCTAAAGGTTAGAGTCAGTTGAAGAACATGCAAATGTGCTACTTTCTAAAGGTAAAATTACTGAATTCATTTGTTTCTTGATGGCATCCTAGTACCTTTCAAATTAGTAATGAAATAAGCATCTTTTCAATTTTAATCAAATTGCAGGAATGATTTTTCTCGTTGTTCTACTTTGCTTTTATTACTAAAGTATGGAAGGTGTTAGGTTATCAGTATCATACATGGGAAGCCTTGACTGAAGACAACCTGAAGATGTCTAACAGCATATGTGAAGAGGATACTCATGCCTGCAACATGCAATATTCTTCATTTTATGAAGGATTCCTCTTGTAAATTCATCACCAGGATTTACTAGAACAGAGCCTGACTTCTTTATAAGCTTACTGAGCTTTTACAAGTCATTACAAGAGATCACACTCCATTTCAGTTCAGTTTATTTACATAGCGTCAATTCGCAACACGTCATCTCAAGGCGCTTTCCAAGTTTTCTATCTAAGGGCAACCAGTTGATTCCATAAATTAATTGACTCTTCAGCAATCCCTCACATTTAGCATGCTTGAAGCGACAGTGCAGAGGAAAAACTCCCTTTTAAGAGGAAGAAACCTCCA